ATTTGTTTTGTGCAGTTGACCAAACCATACACATATACTAGTGTAAACCAAAGCTTTTTTCTCTTTAACCTCTGTCTCATTCAAATAAAAGAAAACACACAAACTTCCACAACATGACAATTTTCTCTTTTTTTTGCGAACTAAACAGTTCTATACACATATAATACCTGTGTGGCTCTGTTACTGATTTTTTTTTTTAATTTTCATTTTTTTAAGTTTTCTTCATCCTAAAGTTATACAGATTCATTTTTTTTTCTGTTTTGTTCTCTTGTATACTTGCTTTCTAATGGCTAATTGTAAGTGATAATTGGTTATGTGGATCATCTGCTGAAATGGGTATCAGTTGTTTTTTGTAAAAGCCTCATTATTAAATGAATTGTCTTTCTTGTGTAAAATGAACTGCTTAAAATGTAAAATGAATTTAGCTAATCTACACACCATGTAACATTTTTAATAATCTAAAGATTTTCTGGTATCCTGATGAAATGCAGTGAATGTGTGGAGGCCAGACTGTGCTCTGGATCATGTGGAGAAATTATAACTTTTTGTCAGCTCCAACATCTGCATTTAGTAAAATGGATTAGTAGTGTACTAGTAATGAGAATATGCTATTAAGAACAAGTGGAAAACAACACCAAAACATACAGCAGATGAAAACAGGATTTGGCCATTTTTTACACTAGATTAAGTTTTATTGAAGCTTTTTAATTGTATAAATTTTGACTTTTGACAACTATCATTTCTCTTGTTCATCAACCTTAATCGAGGGGGGCTAAACTGTGCTTAATCCTTTATGTAAGATGTTTAAAGAAACCAAATATGGTGAATACCATAAGAATTCAAAAAGGTTTTCAACTCTCTTTTCATAATTATTTCACCCTAGCATTGAATTATGTTGTGTCCCTCAACACAAATAGCATAATGCAAGATTTCATATAATCAGACTACGTTTGTTAATCCAAAATGAATCTCTGCCAAGCACAAGCCTGCTAACATTTCTTTGAGCTGGAAGTCTAAATAGGTTTGGGTTTTAGAAATTTCACAGTGAATTTGTTCCATATGAAGGTACTGAAAGTGACAGCCTTGAGTTCTGCTCGTTACATTTGTATTATGCACGCCAAGATAAGACAATAAAAAATAAAAGTTTTACCATTTTACAAAATCATGTGGACAAAATTAAAAAAACTTCACCGTTGCATAGTTTATGAGTTTCGAATTTAAAAAAATAATATTGAGGAGGAATTCCTTTCAAATCTGATTACATTAGGATTGAGTAAAGCGATCATTGGAACTGTAGTTAATACACCCAGCCCACTGAAGCAGAAGTGAAGGGGGACAGTGGAGGGAAGGTTCAGTCTTTTGTCTTCGTCACAAGGTGATCTCCTGTCCAGGATTAATGAGTGTGTGAAGCAGACAAACAGCATGAGGAGGAGAAAACTGGCAGGGAAGCTATGCAAGGAATGTTCCTGCCTGGTTTAAGAGTACAGCCTCCAGAAAAGGAAGGTTCAGGATTTTAAAAGGTTTTCTCACAGGCGGGATATTATAGTCCCAATAAAATAGACACTTAAGGCTCAATTTTAGAAGCTCACCAAATTTACAGCTCATTCTAACAGAAAAATGTTTGTAGAAATGATGAAATATTCAAAAATAATAATGACTGTCACATGTGTACTGTATGCAGTTTACTGTATGGTTGTATGAATGGATCTTTCAGCCTTTTGAAACTGTTTTTTTTACAATATACGTAATGCAGAAACTGTAGCACAGAGGAAAACGTTCTGTATTTCTCCAAGAACCTACCTAATCAGTAAGATATTTGTAGTGTAATGGAAAAGTTTGTTAAATAAAACACAGGAAATTATAGTATCATTTTAGTGGATACACTTATACATAATTTAAGTGGGGATGGATGTTTTTCAAATACAGACAGATTTCTTCTCAGCAAGATTTTTCTTTTTACAAAAACTTCATTATTCATTGAGCTGTGCTTTTCTTTGTTTTAGAGCCACTTACTTTCTATTGATTAATAAATGTAACATTTATTTAATTTCAGTTCTGTTTGACTGGATTAAAACTCCATAAAAAACTTGAAAGGCAAGATAGGCAACCACAGTGATGAATTTATATGCAGTGTTCACATTCTGTTCTTTCCAATTTGCACTGTCTTGTTGTTAGATAATGACAGGTTTTAACATTTTGTATAGTGCTGCTGAGAAATGTTATAGCTCAGCTTTCAAACTTCACAGCTTGGAGACAAAATCTAATATAGTGATGAGTAATTGAAAAAAAGGGAGCTCAGCTGTTTGTTTAGAATGATATATCGACCACAGTGAACCTTTACAGATGAGTGTGAAATAGTTTATGAGTGATGCCCAGCTCCTGTTCCTCTGGTATAATATTTTTGTTCAGCCTATGCAACTAGCCAGTCTCTAATGGTGACGTAGGTCATACCTCATAGGAACAATATTTTATGTACCAACAATTATGCTTGTGTTAGAAACACTGTGGAGTGGGTGGGAAAACTCTGTTTCTTGAAGTTCCTGGTTTAAAACCAGTGCCGTGATTTACTGTACAACTAACTACTTTTGTACTAAGTAGTTGTGAGGATAGTAGATGCTTGGCAAGTAAGCTTGTTAGGATATTTTATTAGTGTGACGCTAAGGATCACTCTTGAAAAACAAGAGCTCAGACTCTTTCCAGATTAGGCTTTACCAGAAAGATTTCTGTGTTATGTGATACCGAATACATTTGCATGGACATAATTCTGTTGCTACTAGATGAGATTTACAGGGAAAGGAAAAGCACATATTTGATTACAGTGGTTGAACTCCACTGTCTATGGTCTAAGGTTTGTTATTAATGAAACAATGAATTTACTGAGCAGCTTCCTGTGTTATAAATAATTTGTTCTTAATAGTGTTTTGTTTTTATAACTTAACTAAACTAATACTTTAGTTTTTTTTATTTTAATATCAAAAGCATTAAATATTTATCTAAATTTTGCATTTCACTTCAATGTTCAAATATGTTCCTTTCAATTCACTTGTCTTGAACAAGATCTTTTATTTCAAGGAAACAAAAAGATTAAATGAATGGGCATTGTTGTTTTGCAAAAGGTTGTATTTTGCAAAAGGTGTTGATCAATAACAAACTGTTATTTTGTTATTAAAGTAGTTTTTGATTGCCATCTACCATCTAGATAGTTTTTTATGAGCTAAACAGTACAGTATGATGTATTTCAGCAAAAACACAATCTGTAAATGAAAGTATGTAATTCGGGTGGCAGATCTTTATGGTTAATACAGTGTATTTCTGTTACAGATAACCTGTCTGAAGATGAAAAGCCAGACAAAGAGCTGCTAACTCAGTTAAAACAGTTTTGTTATTGCTTATTGGATGTTAGCTTAGTTCTATAATATGATTAGCTCAAATGGAAGGAGGATTTTGATTACTGACAGGGAATTTCTAAATACGAGCTAAAGTATCAGGCAGATAAAGCAAACAATGAAAGACCAAAAAGTACTTTACTCTTGGATGAAACCAAGATTTTATTTCCCAACACAGTTTGAGTTTATTTCATGGCATGAATTTTTTTCATGGCAGGGAAAAATTTAATGAATATATAAGATGTGTAAAAACAGAAGTGCAGTTTGTACCCTGTGAGAATGAGCAGATTACTTTTTTTAAATCAATGTACAACAAAGATTCTTCTGAATTTTTTGTTCCTGCATGTGTTTAGGAAAGAATGTATGAGCCATTTGTTGTCTAAAAGCTTCTTCATTTCTGAGATGCAGTCAGTAAGTTTCAGGTTTCTCTGAAAGGTAGACACGACACGATGTTCCATTTGTGTTTCAATGGACAAGTTCTCTGAAATCTTTCCACCAACTTTCCCCAGATTGCCACCAATAAATGCTTACTTTTAAAAAATGTCCCGTTGTGACTTTTTTCCTAAAACAGGTTTTTCATGCCAAAATAAATTTTAGAAATTAAGATATTAATCTTTGGTAGTACATAAATGTAGAGCAACTTTAAAAGTGAAGTAATCTGATGCATTCAGAGTTGAAATGGTAAAAAACAAATTTGCTTTTTCCTGTTCTTAAATATACTGTAATAGAGGTTCCGTTCTTTTCAAGAGTCTTCTGAAATTCTTTTAAAAGTGGCACATTTTTACAAAAGAACTTTTCAGTAGCGTGGCATTTTGTGATGTATAGCAAGTAGACTGGATAGTCTTACAGTTTGATGTACTTCTCATTTCTCACTGAAACGTTGCCTTCACACGTGGTGCAGTGATTAATAGAACAGACATTCTGGACCATTGCCACGGTCTGCCTGTTTTCCTGTGTATTATGGCTAAGTCAACCTGAACACTATATGACGTGCTTCTATTTGAGATCTGATACAGAAAAAAAAACAGCTGTAGCAAATTCTGTTCACCTTTATTTTAGATTTTATTGTTATTAGTATGTAAAAGGTTGATTACCTTGGCAATTTTCACAGACATTTAAAGGTTTAATTCAGAAACTGAAACAGCACTTTAGACAACTTTATGTAGAATGTCTGATTAGTCTTGTTGAAAGATTCTATTTTCTGCTTTTTTCTAGTCTTCTTCAAAGATACAAAGATATTTAATAAGTCACAAGTCCAACGTAAGAAATAGGAAGAAATTAGTACCTCACCCAACTCTAGTTGTTCATCACTTGCTGTCCCAAAATGTTTACTATATTTGTGGAATTTTTGTTTTTTTTAAAAATATACATTATTATTATTGTATTTTAATGGAAGCTCCCAAAACCCATTCTTTGGTTTATCCATCTTTTTTTCCTCAGAGATACTTCTCAAATAACACAGAGTTGGAACAGGTGTTCTGTGTTCTGCCTGCGAGTGTTACTGGGAAGGGATTAAGTATCTTTTAAGTCACATCCTTAGATCAGAAAGATATAGGTGTGTGTCTCTTTATTGGCAGTTTCACATGACTGTACTGATTTTGTGTTTTATTTCAGGTGTTGTGCAATGGACCAGGAACATGTGTCCCACTTTGTGTGTCAGCCCTCCTTCTAGGAGTCTTGGGAGTGAAGAAAGTGCTTATTGTCTATGTGGAGAGCATCTGTCGGGTGGAAACACTGTCGCTCTCTGGGAAGATATTATATCATTTGTCAGACTACTTTCTTGTTCAGTGGTTGTCACTGCAAGAAAAATATCCTAAGTCTGTTTATATTGGCAGAACTGTTTAAAGAACATAAAAACCTTTAAAAAGACAAACAAGTGCAGCTGGTACTGATAACAGACATGATCTGGGTTCATAATGCTATTCATGTACTCATTTTGGCTGAAGAATATCTGTGTTTTTCCCAGGAATGTCTGCATATTAAAACCAGTTCATGCAATAGTTTAATGGATGTGAACACTATGTTAGACATTTTTTATACAGTATTCTGTATTTTGGAGTGTTAATGACTATAAAAAGTTATTTCATTGTTATCAGGGTATAGTTTTTTTAATCTCAAAAGTATTCTTATGGGTCTCATGTCAAGGAAAGACCAGTGCTAACCATAAGTGCTAACGATTGTACGAAAGAAGGCGAAAAAAGACCTCCAGATTGAAAAACCATGGGTTCAAATCCTGAGCTGGAAGCTCAGGTACATGAAGAGTTTGCTTTACTCAAATTGCTGTATAAAAGAGTGTTCAGATCATCACTGTTTATAATAATTTGCTCTCAATTGTCTTACCTGGTAGCATGAATAAAATACTTTAATGATCATTTTTGCTCAAAGACATCTTGGTCTTCAGCAGCTTTGTAGGATGAAAGGGATGACTTTCCATTCAGTTCAAATGTTTTCTCACTATAGTATCAGCTGTTTTGTGGAACAAATAATAAACAAATGGTAACAGAAAAGCATTAATCTGAGAGGCATGGGTCAAATTTTGAACAGCACACAATTTGACTACATTTTGAGTACACAGTCAGGTAGGTTAGGATTGTGTACTGTGTTTTACGTGTGACGTGCAAAGGCAGGATTCAAGTAGACTGACTTACAGCTATCTTTTCACAACAGTCATGGACTTTGATTTGTTTATAATTTCTTCAGGATGTACATTTAACTTGTGATGCATTTCCATCATTGATATGTTTCCTGTCCCTGGACCGCCAAGTCCCTTGTTATAACTGCTTAGTGAAGGGGAAACACATGAAATGAGCAGGACTGTTTTGATAAATAGAGCTTTCAATAAAACACAATAAACTGGAATGGGGGATTATTTTTAGTGCTTTCCTTTCAGTTCCAGTATGAACACATTATTTCTGCACTGGTTTAATATTATGTAACCTGAGAGAGGTCCTGAATGACACATATCTTCTGCACTGTATTTGTTGTGTTTTTTATATGAACTGAATAGAAACCCATCAGTGATGCATTTTAAAAAGTCTTGTTTCCATAATAACATCTTACTGGATTTTTGTGTAGCATGCATAAATAGTATGACTCAAAAAAAGGTTTGACTCGGTAATCTTAAATTAATGCAGGTAATGGCTTATTTGTACTATATTGCCATTTGTTCTGTGATGTCCATAAATGGTATTTTATAGTGATTTAAACAACATAGTTATAAATCAGTAAACGGTGATATGTTTATTTCCTTCTTCAGCTCTTAAGACATTGTTTTCTACTTTTTATCGTTTAAGAGTTTACAAAATCAAGCATGCCTCAGTTAAAAACTCTGAGACATCTAAATTAAATAGTACCAACAGAGAATTAAGCAGAAATTCTGGTGTTATAGGAGTAAAGGAAACATTGATTATTCGGTACAGAACGTTCAGAAAAGAAAGGAGGTTAGAAGAAGAGATTATGGGGTAGCAGTTTATACAAATGTCATAGAAGCTAAACAGACCGCTTGAGTGCTTCTGAGACCTTATGGATCGAAATAAAAAATATAAGTGTGGGAGGAAGTCTGCTTTTCCTGTTATGCTGTGTCCTACTGCCTGGCAGAGCTGTGAAATAACACTGGCCATTCTAATAAAAGCACAAGTTCTATTTAAAAACAAAGCTTTTTCTGACCCTGACCTTATACAATCACTTTCAAGTGCTTCAATATTTGTGAAGTCCATTAAGCATTTTGTAGTTTATATAATCGAAATATTATACCACATTAACAGCATACACATCATGACTAGACTAAAAAGGGCATAACCAAGTATTCAAAATCCTCAGGAGTATTGAAAAAGTCAACCTATTGGATATAGTATGAATGTTCCGGACAAGATGTTATTAGGAGAGAACCACAGGGATCTGTTTTAGGAAACCTGCCTGTCCTAATTAATGATTTCTTTGGTATGGTTAGTAAAGTAGTGAAATTTGGAGATAAAGTCGAAGGATAAGCAAAATCTGTGGGAGATACAAAAGAAACTTAAAAGGGTGTAGACAGAGTTCAACATGATACAAACACATAGCTGATGACATTTAATATAGACAAGATGAAAGTGTTGCAGGCAGACGGGAAAAACAAATTATGATTATAATTTTAAGAACCTACTGAGAAAGACTTGGGTGTTTATGTGGACACATCAATTTCATTTTGAAAAGGATATATAGTTAAAAGTGTAGAATTTATCAAGGATCCACAGCCTCTGAGTAATGTACTGTATGAGTGTTAGTGTTGGCAGCTTGTTGAAGTCAATAAGTCAACTTGAGTCGAATGCCAAGTTGCAAAGTTGCAGACTTCAGTGTGGCAATATTCCAAGGCAAAGGTAAAGTAATATTGTTGGGGCTTTTGTAATATTTATGGTATGCATGATTCTGAATATCCAATTAGAAGTTTCAGGTGTGCCAATCTTCAAATTCCAATTTGGGACCATTTTTTTCACAGTACGTTACAAAAAAATGATCGACAATGATGGACATCTTTTAAAGATTTACAAGATTTATCAGATGCCCACCGATCCTTCTTGCAGCTGGGACTACACAAAAAACTGAGTTCATCAAATATGAGACAAATGAACAAATCTGAGACCAGGATTGTAAGAGTAATGGGAAAGAGTGGAACAGAATGATATAGCAAAAACTAGAAAATTCTTCACAATCAGGGTAACATTCTAACAGCTTCCCAAGAAAATAGCAACAGCTATAACTTGAAGATTTCCATGCTCAAGAAACTGCTGGCATTAATCTCCCTTGAGAGGGCATCACACTTTTTCATTCTAAATGTGTACATTTTTTTGCATGGGTGAAGAACTGCAAGTTTTTTAAAAAAAAAATCTGTCCTTTATTGAATTTCTCATTTGTTCTTTCATGGGAGACTGTAATTTTCCACACACAGTCTGGGAAGAACTGCATGGGACGTTAACAACTGAAACAGAAATGGTAGACATGACTGAGACCTGCTTTCTTACTCACATTGTCAGGGAAGGCCTGCATAGCCTTTTCAAACAATCAAAAAAGAACATGACAAGCAGAGACAGATAATCCTAGCAATAAATGAATGTCCTATTCTGACAGGAAAACACAATTGAGTCATTTCACATGTTTACTAGAAATCAAACAGATCAGATGGGCCAATTCACTTCCTGTTGATGATATTTTCTTATATTTGTATTACTATATAAGTGGACCATATTCAAGTATTCAAGATTCTCAAAGGCATTGACAAAGTCAACCATTTGGACCCAAGGGGACAGGGGAAGTCCTTGTAAAACTCGACAAGAAAGTGATTTCATGAGGGATTTGTGTGAGTTTGTAACCATCTGCCTTGTCGTGTGCTTAAAGCTGATACCCTGATTTTTCCTCAAGAAACAACTGCATGAAATCCTTGGATCTTTAAGGCAATAGAAAGTTGCCTAGAATGATAGTAATGAGATGGGCTACAAGACCCCCTCTTGTTTGTAATCTTGCTTACATTGCCAATTGCCAATTTTTAATGGATGCAACTAATTTATCTTATCTTCTATAAATGTGAGCATTCAATTTACTTAACATCATTCTATAGAGGCTAGAAAAGAGTTAATCAGATTTATAAACCAATTTCACTTTAAATCTGGTTTAAAAGAAGGGTATTAAATGATAACTTACAGTACATAAATAGTTGCTATATTCCATTTAATTTATTTCAGATAATTTTTGGAGTATTCTCAAAAAAAGAAAAAGGCAGAAATTATATTTACAAGAACTGAGAAAAATTACATTTGATGTAGAGCCTTAGTGTTTTTTATACTCATGGTTTAACCTAATGAACACCTGGTTTAATGAAATAAATGCATCTGATAATGTGTTGTAGAATAATGTTTTTAATACTATCTGTTGTAGATTTGTTTGAAGTTGGATTTTCCATATACATTAGATGTAAAAATCCCTATCTTTTAAAATCAGAATGTGTTTAAAAACACGAAGCAAAATATACATAAATGGAATGCAAACGGTAGTACTGTCCTTATACTAACATTTACTACTAATACACCTGAGAGGGCAGTCCTGGTCCTAGAATGATACAGTTGATACAGCCTTCATGTACATTCCAAAATCTCCAACTGCTTAAAAAATGAAAATGATTTGAAAAAAATAATTGAGGGATTTGATTAGCTCAGTAATGGAAATTAACACAGAATGCAATTCTGTATGACTAGAGATGTATCAGAAATGTCTTTTTAATTTATATAATTCAATCCATTTGCTTTTAGCAGCTTGTGACTTGTTTCGTTCTACATTTGCATTCAGATATAACTAATGTTGTATTTGTAGAACTGCCTTCAAGGGGAGGATTCCAAGGCATGCATTTTCATTTTTGTTTAAAAGCTTTTGAACTCACGTGCCGTACCCACTTAGTAGACTGGTTTTTACATTGTCTCTTTGTTCTTCAGCAGACCTGTCCTCATTTGTGAGTCACTGGAATGCCTGATGGTAAGATTTCCTCATGGTCTGTGAATCATACTGTTGAGTAAATATATTTCCTTCTATACAGGTGTGCACTTTAAGAAAACACTTTTTTTTTCCAGTAGAAAAAAATAGAAAGCTTGATCATATCTTAGTTCCATTAAGTATTTATTTTTAATATATTGGGTTTTTTCAGAACAAAATTTCTTACAATTACTCAAACTATTTAGGAACAACACTTACAGAAAGACTGAACTAAAAGTTAATTTCCCAAAGGAAAAACAGGTGTACATTAAAATGTATGATACTGTCACGCATACAGCCGACATTACAGGTTGTTCGAGCTGGCTTGCCAGCGCGGTGATGTCATCGCCTTTCCCTGTGAATAGCAGGGACCTCAGTCGCCAGGCTGATGAGAGATCTCCCTTTAGCTCAGCTGACTGAGTGCCTGTTAAGTGACGCCCGAGGCCTGGGTTTGAGTCCCCAGCGGTTGGGGGGCTGATCTGAGGTGGCAGTGGTGAGGGCGCATACCCACGTGAACCTGAGAGCGCCACAATACATAGCATAACTGTAATCAGTAATTTCATATAAACTGTATAATTCATAACCTGCACATAGATTTAAAATTCTTATGGAAATAAGCCCCTAAAGTGTTTTTCAGTAATCTGGTAGGTTTACAAAGTCCCGTGAAATTAAATATTTCAATTACAATTACAAATTGTCACAAACCACATGCAGGCATGCAGACACTGTCACATTCCCATGAGCACCCACTAATTTACTTCACGCACTTTGTCCATATAGACTTCCACTCTGCAACTTGTCCTCGCTCACTATTGAGGTTTCCTCAGCCTGAGCCGCGCATCTAGTTAGCGGTTTTCTCTGACTTATCGTTGTTCTTGTGACCCCCTGGATTTCTGACCTACTGCTTCTGATCTCTGACCTCACTCTAGCCTCACGACTTGGACAACGTTTGAATTCAGTTTTCTCTCTCACTCTCCGCACAGGGTCTTTTCATACCTTTTCCCTCAGAGTACATAACAATAATCACACAATCAACTGGGTTGGTTAGCACTGCTGCCATGAAGCTCCGGGGCCCTGGGATCAATTCTGGATTTGCATGAGATTGTATGTTCTCCCCATGTTTGTGTGGGTTTCCTCCTGATGCTCTGGTTTCTTCCCACAGCCCAAAGACATACTGGTAGGTTAATTGGCTCCAGGGAAAATTGTCCCTGGTGTGAGTGTGTGCGTGTCTGTGTTCGAGTCTGTGTGTCCTATCTTGAGTAAGCAATACCAAGCAATGGGCGCAAGATAGGGATAACTACCTTATGCCTGTTGCTTGCTGGAGTAGGCTCTGGTTCCCCTGTGACCCTGAACTGGACGAAAGGTTTAGAAAATGGATGGATGGATGAGCCACTGGGCTACAGAGGAGGCAATGTAAAAGCAAAATATGAAGCACCGTGTTATCATGTGGAAAGCGAGGGAACTGGCTCAAGATCTTACAAGAACGCTTATTGACCTCTACAGCTCCAGTGGGGGCTACGGAAATACATATGACATCATATACTTGACTGGTCCATCATCAGAAAAAGAAGACATCACAAGGAAACAATGTCAACAAGATTAGCATTCAGGGTTAAATTCAGTAGTACTGCAGAGTTCTAAAACAACAACAAAAAAACTTGCTAGATGGCAACTGATTGATTTCCAAATCAATACCTAATGTGTTTGGATGAAACTTAAATTGTTTTTTTTTTTTTTTTGACAGTGTCACCTAGAAGAAGCAGAAGAAGGAAGGAGAAGAAGGAGCTCGTGTTGAAAAATTCATTTGATTTGCATTCCTCTGGTCCTGGTTTCTTGGAACATCTGAATTCTGAAGTTTACCTCAACAAATACATGTGACTTCTGCATGAAGCTCAAGCTTGTTTGCAAATGGACTTAACTGTAGCATAAAAATGCAAAGCATGCATCAAACACAATGACCAAAAGGGTAAAAAAGCTTTAAAATCTATGTTTTTCATGGACTATCACAGTCTCTAGTGGAACATTAATGGCACAAGCTGTGGAAAACAGATCACAAGAGCAGGTTGTGCAACCTGAGCTGGAGAGATACTGCTTGGAGGAGTGGCCAAATAACCCTAACAGGTAGTTCAATGCCTCCTCAAGGTTGCCAGAGCAAAAGGATTCACAAACGTCACTCTGCTGGCATATGAATAGAATTTATCTTGCATTTAGAAATATATATGTGAATGTTTTTTTTACATATTTTCATTTTGTACATAATAGTGAAAGCCGTAAACTGTATGTCTTTAATTTTGAATATGTTTCTATCAAATATATTAAATATGCATCTGGATTTTCATACTAAAGCATACTAAAACGTGTTTTAGTTACGATTCAGAGACCGGTTTATATTTTGGGAAACAACGAACATTACAAATTTTACAACTTTTTATTTCACAGTTGTAGTTTTTATTTTCAAGTTGTATCTGTTGTAAAACAAAACCATGACAGAATGAAACACACAACACATATTCAGTGTATCTTCATTGCAACATTGTGTATAATGACAGATAACTGACCGAAACCGATAGATTAAAAAAAGAAATATGAAAGCTATAATAAATGTCATATCTGTTTTTTTTCAAAGCCTTCAAACCAGATTTGAAGCGAAGCTGAGTTTCGATATCAGCTGACGTCAGCTTCAATTAGCAGCCTCTTGTTTTAACAAAAGGGAGAGTAGATACAAAATCAGCGTCTCTGATTGGTCAACTTGTGGTCGTCAATCGTCTTGCGACAGTTTTTCAGCGCACAAAAAAATGAGCTATTGAAACCAGAACTTTCTGCGGAGACGCTGTTTCGGACAATCTGTTTGGGACAAGTAGGAGTGCATATAAGGGCTCAGCGTGCACGGACTTTTAGCAATTTGTTTGGACTGAGCTGGGAGAAAAACAGACAGCCTCATCTCGCTGTCGTTTTGAAAAACGGCAACTAAGAGGACGCATAACTCTATTGTATCTAAGCATTGATATTTTATTATCTGTAACAAAGGAAAATGACTCAGTTCAACAAAGGGCCAGCCTACGGGTTATCTGCAGAAGTGAAAAGCAAGGTAAGAGGAGGAAAAAAGAAAGGTATACTTTAAGAAATTGACTGAATTCTCGGAGTTGGTTTATAGAACTTTCTTTTTTGGGGGGTAAATCTGGTTTCCGAGTGTTGGAGCATAATTGTGATTTAGCGACCCTATCGGTCCCTCTGTTAGTCCAGTGTAACACTTAAAAAGCTCAATTTCATACAATTGTAAGGTTTCTTTTAGAGATTCGTGCGAGTACTTATACACACCCTTCATATAAGTCTGTGTTGCTTTTTAAAAGGTAGAACAATGCAATAGTTAACCTGTCCTTTTTTTAAAAAAAAAAATCTATTGAGAATGTTATTTCGGCTATTGGAAAAAACAGCTACGGTCTCTCTTTGACTTTCCGAGACGATGAAATTCAGATATAGTACCGGTTATGTATCTTAATACAGTTTAGAATGAGTATCGTGTAAAAAGTGTCTTGACTTTATGAATACGGTTTGGAGCTCATGTTCCGAAGGTTCCACTCTTTGTTTTTTAAAAGTGAATAATAATTTCTATCCTTTGCTATTTTTGACTCGAGTAATTATTAACACGGTTGTATTATATATATATAGTATATATTTTTTGTCGTTGCAAAAAGACAGTAATAAAACGAAGACCACTTGGTTGAAAAGGTTGCTCAACAAAATACTAGTCGGTATCTTTATTGTTTAATGACGGGACTATTTACCCTGAGGTCCATTCGTTTATAGATGGTCTATCCAGTTTCTGGTTACTGTTTCAACAAAAATCACATTCGTCAGAGCCTGCAATCTGTTTTATTTTGTGTGTGTAAATCAAACGCTTTGGTAAACATCGGCATTCTTGATGCGCAGCTCATGACTGTACGCAGGAGAGCCATAGGAACCCATTGTCTAGCGCTGGTTTGGTATGCGGCATAGTAGGAGCCATATGAATGAAATCCGCTGCCGAATTCATTGTTCGGGATCTATTAGCTGTTTGGGAGGAGCTGGGACACTTAGAATCCACGTACTCCGTTACAATATTCTAGGGGCAAAAAAAACTTTATCTTGTTACCTAAATTCATAGGGAAACGCGGATCTAAAGATATGCCTATGAGCTATTTAATTGCGAGTTTATTTATACTGTTGTGCCGTAATTAGGTGTTGGAAGAAAAAGCGCACGAAACTGAATTTAGCTTTGGTTCTACCGTTTTGTAACCTTGAGCAATTGTCCCGAAGTGCACTTTCCTGAAATGATTGGTAGAGGGAGAAACGTGTGACGTTTACGTTTTCTTGATTTAACAGTAGGTAGTCCGGTTTTGTTGCGTTAAGCTTTAAATCTTGAGAGATGTTACGTCGTAACGGATTGCGAAAAGAAAATGTCTAACGGAGGAGGAGGAGGAGAAGGAGGGGGGGTAGAATCCTGGTCAGGATTCCCAAAGCATTACATCACCATTTATCCATAGGAAGCCACCATTAAGCGAGATGTAGCGAGCAAAAATTTTTAAGAGTAATTTGGCGATAAACCACAAGGGTTGGCACCATTGTATCTCCAGTATAGATAACTGCCGGATCTTCGGGTTGCTTCTTAAAATTTTGAAACTGTTCTGTAAAGTTGGTTTCTTTGAACTTTTAGGCAGCAAGATCTGAACTTCTTTCCTCTCTTGTCTTTTTTTGTATTTAATCATTTTAATTGTTTTAAAAAGGAGTTGTGCACGCATTAGTCAAAATTTACAGGACAAAATTATTTAATTGGATAATTCATACTTTTTCTGATTGTACTAATCCAGGAATCTTTTACTTCAGGACGTTGTTAGTAGCCTACAGGGATAGAAAAGCAAAAGTCATTTGTTTTTGGTCATTTTCTTAACGTACCAAGATCAAATTGAGGTGAGTCGTTGTGAGCTATACTTGGATGTAAAAATAACACCTTTCATACCCTCAGCAAAATAATTTGAAGATAATAAATAAAGTGAAATCGGTCTTTTTGCTGGACAACATTTAAATTGGCTGTTCTTTCCCCTTTTTAATGCAAGCATAAGTGCCATTTAAATGAAGTGCTTTTAAGGGTACATTCTGGGAATAGATGCCACATGTTACTATCCACCAAATTAAAGTAATCAGATAAGATGCTATTTCACAGCTAACAAGAAACCAAGTAAATGAGACTGATTTTACGATATGGAAAAGCAGCTGACAGTTCCTTCCAAATGTCAGAGATGCCTCAAACTTCCTCTTAGTGTTCATGCCTGCTGTATTCTTGGAAAAGTTTTTGTTTATGCATTGGGTTTTAATCACAGTTATGACATGAAGTATATTTATCATTGGAATGTGGGGTGGGTGGAGCATATACTGTATATTACTTTTAATGTTGGGACTTTTTCTCAAACTATAGCAACTCCTTACAAATGGATCATTTGTCAGTTATACTTGGAGTGAAATGCTTGCCTTTTCTTTTAAAAAAAAAGTGCTTTAATTTCTAGTATTTTTACACCATTTGGAGCTTCATTTAAGTGGTGGTTAAAATACTAGAATGAGAGTCAGTGTAAAGTCTTCACAAACATTAGAAAACGTGCAATGTTGAATGGGCTAAAAACAGTGCCACACAGGTTTGGTGTTACTTAATCTGAAGAATGTATTGGACTTTGACCAGTGGCTTCTGTCTCTCATTGCCAAATGAACTTGTAGCTCTCCTTTTGTTGGATAATATTTATGGTTTCATATCTTAACCATAATCTAAATTTATTGTTTTCCCTGATAGAATACAATATAACTAAATTAGCCAGGTTCTTGTGCCGATTCTTGGCTTGTGGCAGAAGGAGTTTCTTTTCCCCCAAGTGAGAAGAGAAGAAATGGGCCATTTCATAAAAATAATAGTATGATCTGAAGTATTTTCCATTGCAGCTGCCAGCAGGGAGACAATACAGATGCCCTTTATTAAGAGGAATGCTTGGAGAGAATTTGCTGACTGACAGGCCAGGCTCCAGTGATTTGTTACAACTAATGGAAAATATAATGAAGCCTGTGTTCTAAAGAATCTGAATGAACTGACAAAGATAACATAAGAAAGGTTTAAAACCCGATCAGGGTATTTGACCCCTCTAGGTCATTTGGTGGATAGTAGCGAGTTGATCCTAGGCTCTCACCCAGCCATTTTCTAAAAGAAATCTTGGCATTGGCTTCAACAACATGGCTTGGCAGGTTTAATTGTGTCCCAGGGCTTATCTTGTATTAATCTACTTCACATATGGTGTGAATGGTATTACTTCTGACTTTAACTGGATTTGTTTGGAGTTTTTTGGCGTGCAAATATTTTTTTAATCAAGACATCAGTATTTGACACTGTCCCCCCTAAATAAAATGTGCAATAGTAAAGTTGAATGGTTAAGCAATATTTAAAAACACTCAAGATCCTGTTATCTTGAGGGCTCACTTTGTGTGAAATTGGATGAAATTTTGGTTTACTGTAAGTCTAGGTGTTGTGCACAGTGGCTTGGTATGCATTTCCCTTTTGCATAACCTCCTGGCACACCATCAGGAGAAGTAACAGGATTTCTGCTACATTTGATTTACATTTTGATGAAATGACAAAATGACATCAAAATGTCCAATTCATTTAACAGGCCATACAGACTTTATTAATTGACTTCATTCATGACTTGACTGCAGTCATAAGTGGCCAAAGCACACACTTGGTGAAATAGCTTTAATTTTGCTTGTGAGGATTTTAATTTGACTCATAGGATAAAGAATATACTCTGTTCAGATGTTTTGTACTTATCCCCATATCTTGAGTATTTAATGAAATTAATTAATATTCATATAGGGTTATATTAATGGCTGCATTCTTTAATCCTTTAGTAAAAGCAACAAAGACTTTGTGATTTTTGAAGTACGGTATTACCCCCAGCTATTTATGTTATTGGTTCTACATATGGCACCTTTAATGACAAAGTACTTTAAGGTACGTGTGACTTATGAACCAAGTCTCAATCTGGAATGACTGGTTTCAGGTTCTGGGAATCTGCAGACAAGTCTGTAGTGCCACTCTAAAATGGAGTACTTCAGGTATTCTAGACTTGCTGTACAAGAGCATCTTCTCTTAACTGACCAGATGCCTGCAATGTACAGTACACTTAGGGGCACATTTCTCTCATGGGCAGTAAAGTTCAATATAAAAAAGAATTCCTAGGTGTCTGTTTAAATGGTGTTTTATGTGGCGTAGGATCAATTCGGGTTTTTCCAGGGTATTTACAAACAAGTGGTGATACGTCTTGTGGATTAAAAGACTAATTATCTCCATTCCATGTGCAATGTATCCTGGTGCTGAACTGCAATGCCTTTGAGAGGGAGAACGGTTATAACTAGGTTAAAGAAATTCAATATTTGTTAGTGCAATCAATATTTTTATGGTCTCTTAACATAGAGGCACATGAAATTGGTGATAATCCAACCCACAAATCAAATATTTTGGAAAGTTCATTCCTGCTAGTGGTGATTAGCTGTAAAAAAAAAAAGTCCCTGAGTTCATCTCTGACTAGTTTCTACTAGAGTAGCATTCTTAACTGCCCCTTTTTAATGCAGAAAGGGAACAAAATACAGCACAAGTTATACACTTGCAGATTTTTTTAATGACAGATGAGTGTGTGTGGTTGTCTGTGGGTTATCTTACAAAGACAGTTACAATTTGTGGCAAAAGACTTGAATGCAGCTGGGGTATGCAGTGATTTTTCTTCCAAGTCAAATTATCGCCCTCAAAGGAGGAAATCGATTGAAATGTTAGCTCAAGATCCTGAACTCAAAGCTTTGGTTTTATAGTAGTTTTGCATTTTTTTTCCATCTGCTATGAGGTTTAAATACTAAGCATGAGATCATAATGCTGGTCTCCACTTACACATGAAATTCCTAAAATGCCAGTTAAATTAGACTGAGCATCTGACTGTTTTATCATTAAAGATTCCATGATACTCTGCATATTTCACTTTTTTTTACCTGTTCTGCTGCAACTTATGCAGCACCCACTTGGATGAT